ATTAAATTTGTTGGTATTGATTTATACACCTGGGAAGAGAGACACTATGAGCGTACATTGTCTTGTCCGAGGAACCAGCCAGGACTCACAATGATCACCATACCTCCCGCTCTCAGAGGATTTCTTCAGGTATGAGCTTCCTGGCTCCTCCAATTCCGTGAAGTGGCTCGAACTTTGTCCTCTCCTGCGTGGTCCATTCCCTTACCTTTTCATGAACTGTGACTGGATTTTTATCCCTTCTAAGATGATTTGCTTGCGGGTAATTGTTAAACAGACTGGCGTTAGAAGTATTTCTATACACTCTGGATGGATTCTATTTTTACTACCATAGGTAGTACAGGTTCTCCCCATGCCCCATACCCCATACGCCATACCCCACACCCCACACTCCACACTCCACACCCCACACCCCACACTCCACACCCCACACCCCACACCCCACACCCCACACCCCATACCCCATTTCTAATGCTCGGTAGAGAAACACACTGTGAGAATAAAGCATCTTGCCCAGAAACACAGCATATTGACCCCTGGTAGGACTTTTAAAAATCCGAACCGCTTCATCGCGGAACCCATTGAACTAATTACAACGCAAGTGCGCCTACAACAAGGACATCACTGAACATCTATATCGAGTTTTCAGGGATGTTACCCAGCATTTGTTTGCATTTATCATTAATTAATTCGGCGCATAATTTTACACATCTCATGTGACAGGCTCGCGCGATATTTCCAGTGTTTCTTGAGATCATATGTGCTTCGAGTCTACAGTAGTTAAGATGAACAAGGTAGGGGTCCAATTATAATGTGCGCTTGTTTGTTTCAGACGTGATGGAGAAGATGCTCACTCTTGGTACAGTGAAAGCGATGCAACACTAAACAAGGTGCAAGACGAGTCTTGATTTAAGATTTTGATATTCATCATTTCTCTTACTGGTGTCATATCAGGTTTTCAGTGGCTAAATTCTCCCCCCTCTTCCCCCTTATGCATAAAAAAATTTAGCACCAAACGTTTGAGAATTACACTGTCACAAGA